CATTTCACAGTTGTTCTCCTACTGATTTACGAAGAGTAATATATTTTTTAGTTGTCGTTTGATAGTTTGAAAATAAGACCAAATAAATAATATATTACTCTTCGTAAATCAGTAGGAGAACAACTGTGAAATGAGCTCACAGTGACTGCAATATCAAAAGTTTCATAAACATTTGCATTTGTGTCGAGCACCTTGAGATGAAAGTCGTGTTATCGATTTCACAAGAGCATTGCACAATCAGTCCACTGTGTTTGCCACCCCGTTACGCCGGGCGGCGGCCTTAATTTCGTTTGTGGTTGCAAATGTGTCTGCTGTATTGATTACTAAATAGCGCAGTCCATCGATCGATCGATTAAAAACATCATTTGCGTTAGGGCGAGCTGAACAATCACGTAACATGACGAGTTCAGTTAGCGGTGCGCTCACAGAAAATGTGTTGTGTGAATGCTTGATTGGATACCTGCAAGTTGTTCTGTTTTTGTCAGCTGTCAATTTCACCGTAATTGGAGGCACATTTAAGAAAAGACAAAAACAACACCAACGCAGTATTTATCACTTGATCGTCGATCAAATTGGTTAGCCGTTGATATTTCTATTTTCTACCAGTTGATGAACAGGTTTTGAAGACTATGCGTTTTTCTACAACCAACATGTGAATGCTAAGGTCGCCAAGATACCCACTTTGAGGTCTTGAATTCGAAGCCCGCTATTACCGCCCACTTTTTGTACTTCCTCAGTTAACCTTTGTATGGCCGCGATCCGCTTCCTAAAAGTTTATTGTACATTTCTATGATCAATAAACAAAAAAATGGTAAAAATTTTTTATTATTGTTTTCACATGAATGGGAATATTTCAATCCCTATAAGTAGTATAATAGATGATTAATGATCACGTTACACTGACAATTCGTAAATTTCCCTTGTTTTGTTGTGTAAAATTTTCGCATATAACCACTTAGTGTAGGTCGTGCTTATCAACATATTGATTTTGGCTTTTTTCTAGAGTGAGCTATCAGGCAGTGTTCAATCTCTCAGCTCCCGTGGTCAGAAGCGCCAGGCCACTCCTAGTCCAATGGTTCCAAAGAAAAGAAGTACGCTCAGCAATTCATTGCGCAATCTGCTTCGTTCACATTCACCTGCCAAATCACGAACCGCGCCTGTATCACGAGCGCCAATGGACGATTCCACGTCTAGTGATCAGACGTTCTCTACTGGTGGTCGAACCGAAACAAAAACAGTTCGCATTCGAACTCGTGGTCAAGAATCTTCCAGTTCTGGTCGCTTTTGGACCAAATCACGTACAGCTCCGTGGCGTCGCACGACAACCCCAACTGTGGACGACTCGGCAGCTCAAACTCCACGACCTGTTCGAAAGATGCCAGTAGAAATGCGTCTGCGCGAGCGAAATTGCGTGTTGTACGCGTTCTACTATCTTCATGACGAAGTTCGAGTAGAAGCAGCTATCACGGAGTCAATGCTACGCGAAGGACGAGTAGATGTCCGACGGGGGTTAGTCTGTGATCCTACTAGTGGTATGCTCGTTCCTGTAAACGAAGCCCTCACCGAGGGTTTTGTTTTTGGAATTGTGTTCACCAAAGCTGAACGGGTTCCCGTACCGGATCCACGCTCACAGGAAACTGAATCGTCCCATCCGGATAAAACAACTGTCTACTGGCTTGAAGTATTTCACTATCGACATGACATTTATCAAATCGAGCGCGTCTATGACCCTTACCTGAAAAAGCTAGTTCCTTTGCAAGAGGCGTTGGACACCGGTATCGTTGACCCTATTCATTGCACATACACACATCCAGTCAGTGGTGATCTATATTCTATCGAGGATGCACTTTATCGTGGTTGGATTCAGGCCTTGCCAATCGGGATGCCCCCTCCCTTCGACCTGATTAGGGGCACTTTTGATAACATCCACGTTCGTACGGTTGAAGAGGGCTATACGTTCACTTCGTTTACTCCCTCCATAATCCCACGAGTTCCTTTGGCTCCCACGATAACTCCAAGCAGATTGTCTAAGACTGTAGAAACGCAGTCCACGTCTGATGTCGAAGATGGTGTTCGGACTACGATGAGTGTCAAACGTTTGCTTCCAGGAAGACCTGTCCCACAATTTTATCCTAGTCCACGTTCGGGGGAGAAACTGAAAACCAGTTACTACTTGCAACCTGGTTATCGGCTTCGACCGGACGGACTGGTGGAAAATACACAAACAGGAAAATGCATGACAATGGACGAGGCGTTTCAAGGAAAATACGCGAGTGAGGAACCAATTGAACAACAGCCTGTCAAACAGTTGGTATGTCTATTTACTTTTAATTTTGGTTGAATTACTACATCTGATATGAGCTTTTTTACTGATTTACTTGCAGGCATTTCCACTTTCGCAATTGTAACTGCTTTTAAGTTTACGTTTGTTTGCATACTGTCTATCCTAGTAGAACGTCAATTCAGGTACGTCGTGCATAAATTCCATTCAAACCATTCGAAACTCTGTCACACTTCTGATCTCTTATTAGGTTTTTATGGTTCACACGCGTCCGGTCTATGTGCCAAACGAATCACGGTACAGGAATCTTTATAACAAAGAAATCCATCCGTGATTCTTTTCATAGGCTAGTTTACTCAGGTCAAAACAGTTGAATAGTCTCGGGTGGGGAGGTGGGGGAGATTCTTAACGGAAGCCTCCATTTGACCAAAGACCGACTCGTAAGGCCGCAGGGTGGTGTGCGAAAGCTACACCCAGTCAGAAGCGGGTGACTAGTTCATCAGATGTCCTAAAAAATCTGGCAGTTGACCGGAATAATTTTAGTCAAAAACCATGGTCTATTTATCTCATGATCTTCCGGAACGCCCCAGTCACCTTACAACAAAGTATCTTTAAGCGGTCTTCGTTATGCGCCACCGTGCTTACAATCCATAGATCATTAATACGAATGTATGGTGTAGACTGTTTGAAGAAGGAAAATGGGCTAATATGTTCAACATGAAGACTACATGGTCTAACCGTGTAATCACGTCGGAATTGTAATCGCGATAGCACGTTCAGTCGCGTGTCCAATCCATCGACTGTAGGGGCATTTGAACCTCCGTTCAGGAGATGGAAGATAAAACGGTTTTGACTTATTGTTTTTTTCCACTTCTTCATTTATCGTCTCTCCATGTCATTTGTTCACATCCATGCTGAAGCCGAAACACCAGTTTTCAGTTCAGTTTCAGTTTTTTTCAATAATTAACCCTGCACTTTCGTGCGCCGGTTTTTTGTTTTTGTCTTTTTGCCGCCTATTTAGATAACAGAACAGAATGCAGATTGGAATACTGAAAGCTAATTCATAGGGAAGATATAGACTGGTGTTGCAAGAATATTAGATTCACGACACTCAGCCATATCACTCAGCGTCTGTAATGCCCGGTTATCATGATCTCCGGTCCCCGTCCAGAGAGCCTAACGGGACCTATGTAACCCATTGTCCTAGTTAGGATTTTCATACTCTCATGCCGGGTCTTAGTTTGACCACTCTTGATCTTTTTCCGTCCGTTACCTATCTCAGCAAACATCGTTCGCCGTGGCGACCTATATGGTGACATGTGCAACACATTTCCCAACCAGCATAATCAATGGAGATCGACCACTTGCTCCAGTGGACGACCGCGACCACCTAAATCTCTACNCTCTACACCTAAATTCAGTATTGCTCTTCCGGTTACCCTACCAGATTCGTACAATGCTACGTAGACAGCGGTGTTCGAACACTGACTGTTTTTATCCTGTTCCCCTAATGGCCAAGTCTCTGTACCCTAAAGCAGAACTGGCCGAACTGGTGCAACATACACCCAACCCTTCACAGACAGCGGGATATCTCGACGGCGCCACAGATGTCTCAAATTGTTAAATGCCAACCGAGTCTTTTGTATACGCACCTACACTTCATCTGTGATACGTCCGCCGGGTGAGATATAGCTGCCCAAAAGCAAAATTTGTTTAATTCCTCTACTACTTCCCTGGTCAGAGTGAACCAATCAATCTTATATATATTTTTTTTCTCACACACGTCTGAATCCAGACTGTGTCAAACACCCACCCCCGATCATACCGAGACTTTTGAAAGCAACCAATCTTGTAGGAACGTTTTACAGTTTGAAGGTGCCACACGCATACCGAGCATGGCTACGCTGGCACTCAAGCTATCCGGGAAAGCTTGCAACTTACCTGGACCTTCACTTAGTAGTACAGTGCCGTCCGCATACTTCACGTTAGGCAGTCTACCGCCTGGTAGCAAATCAATGCCGCTATATCCGCACGAGGGCAGGGCTCTTTCGAGAATTACATCGATGATAAATTCAAATAGCAATGAAGAGACAGGGCAACCCTAACGAACACCATTTTTCGTAGTGTACTCGGTCCAAAAAGCGTCGTAATCTCGGACACGGCTTCGGCTATTGGTATAAAGGGATGGCAACTTTGAAAGTAGCTTTTCCAGCATACCCCTCAGAGAGGGGCAGCGCCAGAGTTTCGAGCGGTCGACTGAGTCAAAAGCCGCTTTCAGATCGAGGAAGTCCTAAATTGCAGGTCTCCGAAGGGACTGTCTGTCTTCTAGAATTTGGCGAAGAATGAAGATGTGGTCGATACAACTTTAACCACGTCTAAAGCCAGCCTTATTCTCAGGCGTGCACTGTTCACTTGCGGCAGACAATTGACGGATCGTAATACCAACAAGAAGTTTAGAAACGATGTTGATTAAACTTATTCCTCTGTAGTTTTCACTAGAGGACCTATCACATTTATTGTAGATCGGAATGGTGACCGATTCACACCATTCCGTTGAGACCGGTTCCCTCTCTCATACTGAGGCCAGGAGTTTTGTTAACACTGAAAGCAGGGCTGAACTTCCATCCTTAAAAACCTATGGGGACAACCTTTCGGGGCCGGAAGCCTTATACCTTTTGAGGTAATTTCTTTCACGTGAAACCTCCACTTCAGATGTCAACTGGGAGTATTTGCCCAGTTGAGGTGGAGGATGATAGTTCGGATGTCGTTGGGGGCCAGTTGAACTGAGCCGCGAAATGTTCACCTCTTCGATCAAGACGGCGTTGCTGATGGTGAATCAGTGTGCTATCGGATTCCGTCATTACCACCTTGATTACCACCACTTCATTAGTGACGCATCCGCCAGGTAAGATAGAGCTACCCGGATAGCAAAAGTAATTAATTACTAAATTAAACGAAAAAGATTGCGACTATTACCGATAGCCGCAGCCTTCTCCATCTCTCTGCACTTTCCTATCCACCGCTTCTTGCGGTCATTTCTCAGGCTCTTGATGAGCTGGCGTTCAAGGGATTTGCGCGCTTTGTCGTATTTTGAATCCGAAGGAATGGCTCTCAGAGTGTTCACCAGGGCAACCGTGATCGGGGAGATCCATCTTTTTTGCTTTGATCGTGCCGCAGAATCCTCCGTTGTTTTGGTTGATATTTGGATCACTTCCTTGATTGCCGTCCAGTGTTCAGTGAATCCTTCGACCAATAGTTGTGCTGAAAGGTGATCAGATATCTCGGCTTCGAAGGCCGATTTTCGACCCTTACTGATATTATATTGTGGGTGTCAGTTTTCGGTGACCTTTCTGCGATGGTTCACTACGCGCAGAGAGAATCTGACTCATGGCGGATCACGGTCCTTGTCCATAGGTGCTGACCAGCAAGAGCAGGAGTCTTCAATGGATCTTCGCCAGCGGTGGCTGATGGCGATGTGGTCGATTTGAGTCCAGCGCTGTGAAGAGGTTGGTAGTCTCTTTGTGAGACGGTTTAGTTTTTTGTGCGAAAAGTTGGTGCCTGACAGGCACGGTCCGTGGTCAGCACAAAGTTGAAGTAGGTTTTCTCCGTTGTCCGTAGCTGGGATTGCATGTGAACCATCACGAAGAAGGAGGCATCTCGTAAGATTTGTGGATGATAGGAAGAACTGTTCAGATGATAAAGGCGTTTATTCAACTGGGTACCTAAGACTTTAGGATACGACATACTTCGCGGTAGCCCACACCGACGAAATGGTTTTTCTTTTGGAACCCTAACCGGAGCCTTTGTCTGAAAAGTCTGATTCACAAGGTAGTAGGGCGTAGATCCGATGCGGCAGTATGACCCAAGCACCCGTGTGGTAGCTTGTGGAGACCTGTGGAGACACGCAAGGCCTTAGGATTTCCGTTCAGTGTGTTGTTCGCTGGTGCCGCTTCTCGGAATCGACTCTTAGTCTCATGCACCCAGTGATACAGGTGGAACGTGGACGAGATAGCACCTTATTGGCTGAGGGCTGCACAGCCTGGGCGGGCGGTGGCTGTCCAGTGTAGTAGGAAGACTTTTTCTACCATCGGGAGGATGCCCCAGGTACCTCGCTCCTACGTTCATATAGCGGTTTTTTTACTCCCTGTGTTTATTTGCGGAAGTGACCGCTCCAGGAGCGAGAGTAGATGGTCAAGGGAAGCCAGGAGGTACCCAAGCAGCTGGCCTTGTGAGACTGATCTTCATCTGGCCTCTACCCGTTGACTTTCCAGGCATGATTGGATCTGCGGATGTAAGGAGCCTTCCTATATAGATCGCACGGGTCATGCAGGCACACAAGCCATTGCACTACGTCAAGGTTACGTCAAGATTTACGATTGATCTGTTATTTCTGTGACCAGAAAAAACAACTTACAGGTGATGGTTTCGGTGTTTCATAACTTTATCCACTATTCATTATGATTTTCACACAAACTGAAATAACACTTTTGAAACTGCCACAAGACGGTTCATGCTAGCTGACTCACAGTGAATTAACTTGTTTTCGTTTCCAAGAGGATCCGGAGATACTACAGGGGTAAAATGCAGAGTGCTTAGAAGACGACATGCTTAAATTTCTAATTAGTTTAATGGGCCGCCCTGTATCGATTATACTGAAATGTTCAAGGCAGTAAACTTTTATCCCATTCACCATCGAACGTGTTCAGTCACCAGGTCAGTTATACAGGTTATAAAATTTGCTGCTACGCAAACTTTATCTAACCGTGCTTTGAGAAACTAGCTAGCCAAATTGTTGGAATCCATTCTAATTGGAATGGTCATATACAAAGCACGTGATTTTTTCACTTCGATGAGCAGTACAGTACGGTTGCTCGTTCTTTTGCGTGACTTCTTCGTGTTTATTCCTGTCCAATATCTCTCTGACCCTTTTCAACGTGATTGGGTAATTTTCTGCTATTGGCGCAACTTGTGGTCCATCAACAAAACAACCTGATTCTCTCGTTTTCCAACAGTGTAATGATATCACTTCTGCTGCACGCAGGAATTTGAGTCGGTCAGTAGGGCTTTCATGCTAGCTAAACGACTTTCACGTCCCCTTTTACAACTGTCCCATTCAATTGGTTGATGAAGGAACGCCATCAATCGTGTGTTTGCCTAGTGCGAGCAGTCCAAACCCTTCATTATGGTATGGTATGTTTGTTTGTAACAGTATAGGAAAACCTTGAGTCGTTGAAGCTGACGTTTACTGATTTCTACGAGCAACGTACATGCATCGATCGTTCGTGCGTTTGTCCGAACAGCTCCGTGACAATATCGTGTGGCCAAGTGCTAAAACCATTCATTAGCTCGCATGCATCTCTCTGAAACAGATATCCCCCTCAATGTGCACAGTTCGGGGTAATATATCTAGACCAATTCACTGGTGTAGAACAATCACTTCGAGACGGTGATAATCCATTTCCACAATCCTCCCACCCCTTTGTGAATGCTCAAAACATTTGATATGCAAATAAAAACCAAGTTTTAAAACGACATATAAGCTTAGAAACTTTACTCCACCTTCCTATCGTACATCTAATAATTTTCTCCATTTGACTGGTATAATTATGTTAATTATAAATTGCTGATAATGAGGTTGCTCACTACTGTGTTGTAATCTTGGGGGTTATTTTGTTTATTTTTGGACAAGAATGTACAAACAAATAAGAAACGACAGATTAATTAAACGAAACTGATTGTTGTTCGTTCCAACCAACACTGGAGAGCACATCTCTTTCCTTCCCCTACAATAGTGGCTAGACGTGCTGGTGCAGATTAGATTTTGTTTGAATTGCTTAAAACACGGTTTTAAACCAATCAAATCTCGATGACGCTGCTATATATTAACAACTCCTCTACCACCATCATTTTACTATTTCCGATTGGTGGATGATGATGTCGCAGGAACCCGGGTGAGATTTATCGTGAAGCTGGTTGTGATTGGACGGTTTTCACATTCAGATCAGCACTCCGATATCCCGTGAACAACTTTTCACCCGGTGTTTCTGCACTGAGTGGAACGGCGGGGGCTGGGGTGTGGGGGTGGAAGGGAGGAAGAGAGAGAGCGCAGCTACCGTCACAGGCTTAAGATGTACGACGATTTCAACGACTCGTTCTTTTTAATTTGTTTCGATAGTCCTGTTGGCAATTGGGACTGTTGTAGGCGAAGCGGTACAGATACCACACGTGACAATTACGATGGGTAGATAGAAAAACGTGAAGTAGTGGTGACAACATTCTGACCTTCTTGGAGGTGCTCTCCAAGTCATTTGATTCAAACGGTTAGATATGGGTTGGATGAATTGTTTTTCAGCAAATTCGAATTTGTAGAATTCTGTGAATGAGCCACATTCTGGATTTACATGAGTGATCTATCCTGTTGCTCTGTTCGCAGGCTCCGCTCGAGGACGAATAAAATTCCATGGAAGTTAACAATAACATGGAGATGATGCATTTGGAACTGTTGTCCTCGATCTCCTGGACCGGGGTTCACGTGAACATGTAACCGGTTGGCTGGGGACACTGAAAGACATGAAATCGATCTGATAGTTGTGATGCTGTTGCTATTCTTATTGTACATGCGTGTCTGCGGTTTAACCGTGTTCTTTGTGTCGGTTCATTCCGGTTCTTGCCTCGTTAAGAGACCAGTTCTTTTATCGTCTCGCCTCTTTTCCATGATNAAATATCCAGAACAGTTGGACAGATGTGCGGCATGAGATAGGTCGTTTGGTCAGATTATCTTATGATTGATTTCTTTGGACAACTCATGAAAAGCGACCCAATGCTGATGTAAAATATTATTTTTATGATAGTGCTTATATAATATCGTCCTTTTAAACAAGTGCAATAATTTGCTCTATTTTAGGCTTCTTCGGGTGGCGAATCAGGGATCGAACAACCGGCCTCACAGGTATGCGTCTTTCATTAGCGTCGAATCATGGCGAAATTATTGAATTATTACAGCTTTTCTGTTGTGTCCTTTTTGCTTTGCTCTTCCTTATTGCTCATCAGTTTGGGATGTCATTCACGCCCTTGAGGAGAAGCTAGTGATTTATCAGTCAGTAGTGTTCTCAATCCAAACTGGTAGATGTGAGGAATTCAACAAGGATTGCTTGCCTCAAATAGTGAGCAGAGGCGTAGGACATGCTAGTGAGATAATGAGAGGATAATTCATATTGACAGTCATGGTCTACGACATTCTGTTGCCAACTTCCGCTACGTATTCGTGCGAGAGAAAAAGTCTAAGAGTGTGGACTAAGACAGAACGTGAGAAGCATCTAAAGATGCTGAAGGAAATCTAGTAGGGGTGGTTTAGTATGGATGTTGTCATGAACAGTTGGGTATAATATCTAAAGAACTTTTTGACTCTAAGCATCTATAACATCTGTAACTCTTGACGATAGCAGCATGCTAACATGAATCACATTCGGCAGTATTAGTGGCGCAGCGGTTTAGTCGTTGGCAACGGCGTGCTTAGGGCCCTATGATCCCAGGTTTGAACCCCGCCACCGCCACCCAACTTTGGTGATGGACAACTTTACTGTCGTCTGGTTCAATAACACGCTTAATCTATCGGGACCTTATGTAGTTCGCCAATCCAAGTTTCTGGGCTTAGGTTGCTGGTTACTATCACTGAACAGCAGATCGTCGTGACCATGGAGTTTGCCTCGTCTTCTGTTCAACACACTTAGGTGTGTAATAAGAAAAGTTTTAGTTAAGTGCCAGAGGCATTTGAAGCTTTCCACCGTCTATCTCTCCAAATTCAACGAGGGAAGGCGGAGTTTTAGTGTATTCAATCCGTGTTTGCTACTACTGTCTAATGAGTTGTCGTTTTCGTGTTGCGCGACGGATCGTTGAGATGATTTTCATCTTCTTTCATCTTCATACTTTCTGCAACTAACCAAATAGACGTTCTTCCACAACTTCGTTTCTGATTTTCATAAAACTAGTGTCATTGTTCGAATTCACCGAGAATATTTTTCGTGTATCTCCGAGCTTCCTTCATTACCAGCCAATAATTTTCTTCATGAGATAGGTATAGCTTCCTGTCAGTATGTTTTACGTTCTGCTTTTTGTTTGAAATCCTCATATTTTACCAATTTTTTTCTACCTCCCTCTCTCCTCTCTCTATTTGGGGGTTCCACTGTTTGCTACCTATTTTTACGGCTTTAATTCAATTCACCGGTACTCCGTCCCCTCATGATTGCCTTCAACCCGTGTCGTTGTTGGTCGGTTATGCGTGTGTTGTCGACCCTATCATGTGCACTTGGCCACGCTTGCTTGGCCTCCATTCAATGGGTATAATCGCATCATGAAACCCGATTATTCTCTTTTTTCTGTCTCAAATCTCGTTTGCTGTCGCCTTGTCAATCCGTTCGTGTATTCGCTCGTCTCTTTTCGTTCGGTCTTTCTTCGTACTCTCTCATGATCATTATCGCCTTCAATAACCGTGATTATTGTTTCATCATCGCCTGCATTATGCCCCTTGGACTGCCCGTCTGTTCGCCTTCATTCGTGCTTGCTTGCCCGCCTACCTGCCTGCCTGCTCCCCCCCCACCCCCTGGCTTGCTTGCTTGCTTGTCTACATGCGTGTCCAATCGTCTTGCATTGTCTGTCATTATTGGAACTTTTGAATTTCCAACATGGCACCTTTACCGTGCTTATTTGTCCACTTTCTGCCATGAATTTGTTGTTTTCTGATCCTGATTTGCTTCACGTGACCGTACTTTTATCCTCTTTAATGACATGCTCTCGGTTGCTCACCCAATTGTTTCTGTGATGAAACCATAAAAAATAGGATGTACGAGGCTTCGCCGAGCAAGCGCGTCCATTCAATCCAGACACCCTAGTACCAATAGTTGGTGGAGGTCAGGTTCCAGCAACGTGTCTTTCCTTAGTTCGTTATCAGCGTGCGACTGAACTTCCGTCCGTTCTACCGGAACCGAAACGATCTCATTGGATGCCTCGCTATATCACCTTGGAAACCGCACTTAAACGCGGTTGGCTTGATCCTAACACCGGACGTTTGCATACTCAGAATGGCCACACAAGTCGTATGGACCTCATAGAAGCCGTGGAACAGGGACTCATAGACCCAGTGGAAATACTTGTGCGCATTGTAAACCCAATGGAAGCTGATGTTTCTGAGCCAGTCATGTGTGGTGACCAGCCGGTTAGCGTTTACTATAGCTTGGCTACTGTCCTTGATACCGCTACTGTGATTGCTCAAGCCATGGGTCATCAGGTTGAGGTTAATCGTTGGAACAAACGTCTTCTGCAAGCGATCCTATCTACAGCAAATCAATCAATAGACCAACACTCCAGTACTCGAGTTGTGGTTCGAGTACAACCAAACATGAGTGAAAAACATTATGCCGCTTTACAAAGCATTATCGTTTCAACAGCCGGTGCCAGTGATTCTGAGACTACTGAAAGTGAAGGTTTTGTTGCCGATTTGAAGGCAGTCGTACAAACCAGATTAGTGACTACCAAACAGGCAATTGAAGGATTGCATGCCAACAATCAGACTGCAATTATTAAAAAGCTAAGTACTCACCAAGAATTAGAGATAACAGATGCACTAGACAAGCAGATAATAAAGAGAAACACACCTCTAATAATGGGAACAACTGCTTACGACAAAGTGGTCTTCCTACGAGCAACCACAAGTGACTTGATATTAGAAGTCAACAACAATCAAAATACTACAGACACAACACAACATCTGAGAACAACCCCGAGCGAAACCAACCACAAAGCAAGAAAGCCAGATCTGACATCGTCATCCGACGAACGGGAAAAGAATAGTATTGTGTCTGAAATATCTGAAGCGGACGAGTTTGGCGATCAGCTTACCGGTCCGGGTGTGGATGTTGTTTCTGGTGTTCC